CAAAAAACAAAAATGACATATTTTGCAAGGACTAAAAACATATATAACCCGTATTATTATTATTATTATTATATTACTAGTATTATTATTTTCATTATCATCATCGTCATTGTAAACAAAAAAATAAAAATTGAAGCATTATCATAATTTTTATAAAAGAAATTTTTTTATTTGTCACCAAAATAAACGTTAGTTACCATTATACAGTCAATATAAAATATTAAAATATTAAATAAATTACTCAAATTTATTATATTTCCATTTGTACTTTGTAATATTCCATAGTTATGTTTCTTGGTTGATTGATATATCATTAGATTACTTATGTCAATTGTTTGTTTAATTAAGATCAAGAAAATAGTATTTCAAACTTCTGAGGATTCTTGAGGAAAATTCATTTATGTTCGAGCCCCAACGGAAGCATTGACTTTTTGTGCGTGTGTTTCTCATTTTTCCATTATTTTTGGTACCTGGATTAGTAACATAAAAAATTAAGAGATATAGATTTTTACTATTGATACTTATTAAAATGTTTAAGAACATATAATGATAAGTATGACCCAAAAAATATTACGTGTGGTTTGAAAAAAAAATAGTTTAACATATATAAAAATGAAAAGAGATAATTAAAATGAAGTTTAAATTATTATAATAAAAATATACAGGAGTATTACTTGAAAAAATATAATGTTTATTTAAATATATTTCATTTATTTCAACATTTTTTTTCAAACATATTTTATTGTTTCCAAACATTTTAGTTGAATGTTTGAACATTATTCTCTTAAAATATACCTGGCATTAGTAAACAATATAAAAAACATATTAAAAGTTTTTTTCGACACAAATATTATGGCATGATTGTTATTTTAGAAAATTCTATACATGGTTTTTTTATATTTAGTCCACAATTTTTAAATCTTACATTCGGCATCTTTAGTTTTTAAAAACTATATCATAATCAATCTTTTACGATTATAGGTGAAAAGAATCGGTCATATTTAACTTATAAGACTAATTATGAAATAATTTTCAAAAACTGAAGGACACGAATATAATATTTTAGAATTTAAAACTGAATATGGAACTTCTCACATTATAAAAATGTAGGAATTTAATGAAGAAGAACACTGCGAAGCAGTGTTTAAACGAAGAACTCGATAGAATAACGAATCGCGTACGAAACGTTTTCGGATCAAAGTTATTTCGGGGTATACGAAATACTTCAATTGGATAAGACGTTAATCAAGAACAAGCAATTGCAAATCTGTACCCCAATCCATATCACGAGATTCTATTTTATAGAATCGAAAAATCCATGATCGGACATGATCCTTCGCGTAAACATACGCGTAAGTTCGCGTGGAGAAGAAGATAGACGCGAGTTTGAAGAGCCTCCTGCAGTTTTAGAGTATATTTTGACGTTTATCCGCTAGTTCGAGTCCTTTAATGATTTGGACTTCGATCACGAAAATCTTAAGGATTTTCATAAAGAAATAACATCCGAAATAAAAAATTTCCAAGCTGTCCCGGCCCGGCCCGGCCAGGGGCTGCCGCCCCCGCACCCCCGCAATGAATTTATAATATCGTTGAACGAGCGCGCACTCCGCGCCTCCTAACTCGTTTGACAACGTCTATTTAAATTCATGTCCGATCGAAGTAAATCCAATTACACAAAATTAATCGATGACATTAAAATCACCAACAATCCTCCCCTATTTTAGTGTAATCCATGACTTACTTTTTGAGATAATAGATTCAACAAACTTATGCATAAATGAAAATGTCGCGACGATTGAATTTTCATCTTAGTATATTACACATTCCAAATATTCGAATTTCGGGGTGTCTCTAAGGATTGAACCCTTGCAATTCATATGAATACATGAAGATAATATACACATAAGCTCTAAGTGCTTCTTTGTTCCAAACTTGACACCGTATTTTACTAGCCTTGTGTCCTTATCCTTCAACGAGCATATAAAAGTCAAGTCCAAACTTTGTGAAGCGGCTAAACTTCATACTCGTATGGGTAGTTCTTTTATGTTTTGTACCTGCACATACAATTTTTCAAAAGAACTATTAAGAAGATTAACTTTTACCTCTTTAACTTGCAGTTCTGAACACATACCTTTGGATGATGCTAATGTTGTGTTCCAATCTCTTGATGTTAAGCTTTCCACATTGAATTCTACACCTAACGTCATATTAGGTGGGAATTGGGTATCTTAATACGAGAGATATCAAATAGACTTTAATCTTATCCCTTTAGCCGATTTTTGCACGAGATCTCTTCTTAACCCTTTAGTTAAATTATCGGCTAAATTGTGTTGAGTTCGAACAAACTCAATCGATATTATACCATTTTTGATCAAATCACGGATCATGATATGTCTAACACCCATGTGTCTAGACTTACCATTATAGACTTGGCTATATGCCTTAGCCAAAGTCGCAGCGCTGTCACATCTTATAGATATTGGTGATATCGGTTTAGGCCACAATGGAATCTCATATACCAAATTTCTTAACCACTCAGCCTCTTTACCGGCCGATGCTAAAGCAACAAATTCAGATTCCATTGTCGATGTAGTGATGCAAGTTTGTTTCTTTGATCCCCATGATATTGCTCCTCCACCTAGTAAGTAAACCCATCCACTAGTAGAGGAGAAATCTTCCATATTAGTGATCCAACTTGCATCCGAGTATCCTTCAAGAATTGGTGGATCTCCACTGTACACCAAACTATAATTCATAGTTTTCTTTAAGTACTTGAATACTCTCCGTATAGCTTGCCAATGGTGTGTACCAGGATTGCTAGTAAACCTACTAAGCTTTCCAACGGCATATGCTATATCCGGTCTTGTGCTAACCATG